GGGGGGGGACAGTTTCTCACTAAACTGCCCAAACGTATAATCTTCTTACCTTCCAGAGTCCAGGAATTATGGGCATGTGCCCCTGTGCCTGGTTTTGTAGTTTTTTTAACACCTGAGTAACTCTTATTGGTAGGCAAAATCTCATGTCCCATATACTCCTTTTTTTTTTTTTTTAATGTATTTGGTAGAGGGTCTCACTATGCAGCTCAGACTCCTAGTGATCTTCCTGTTTTCATCCTTCCCAGAGCTGGGACTATAGGCATGCACTACCAGCCCAGGACTCAGTGGCTGGCTCATCCCACCCAAGGGTGAGGTTGGTGTAGCATGTGGTGCTGGGGATCGAACCCCAGTCCCTGCACTTGCCTAAGCAGGTGCTTAGTCTGCTGAGCTATCTCACCCAATGCCAAATATTGTACTTTGAGAGTACAGCTCATTTATGTTTTACTCATAGTACTGTGACTCACAGAACAGGAACACCCTGATCATTCTGCAGCTAGATGTGCCCAAGATCCCAAGAGCATCATGTTGGGGTTTCCCAGGGCCTGTCTCTTGACACTTTCCCAGAGCCCCCTTATGTTTTCTGCTAGCTGGTGTGTCTCACAATTTTACTCACTCAATATAGCAGATTGTGGAACCAAATGCTACATTAGATGGTTTGGTTGACTTGTACCTGAGCTTCATCCCATATACATGTGAAAACACAAAGCCAGGTTCTCATAAGGGAAGAGCTGTTCTTGAATGTTTGGCTGAGAAAGTAAGCAAATAAAAAGGAGGGACTTTTCACTATGTTCTCCCCAAAATTATGGCTATTTCAAATACAATTAAATAGGTATCACTTTTTACACTGGTTCTCTAAAGTCTCTTTTGGAGTCTTGATGGATGTGCTTTTCAATAAATCATTTAAAAATTGAAGTTTCCACTTTTACAGAATATACACCAGAGGAATGAGTATTTTCTCACTTTTTACAGATACTTTTCATATTAATGATTTTTCAAAACACACTTCTGTGTTCCTAAAAGGGCTTCAGGTAATTAGAAAATGAAACAAGATCCCGGGTATATCAAAACCTGTAAGGAGAGAAATCAGAGGAAAGCTAACCAGGGGTAGGAAGAAAAAAGGGTATAGAAGAAAGTTACTACATAATGTAATAGTTTTTGATTCTATCTACTTCAAGAAGTTGGCCTGAAAAATTGTTTCTGAGCATCTTAGCACCTAATATAGGAGATAGGGCATAACAATTCTGGCTGGAGTAACAGCGGAACCTGTCAACTACAAGAGCCCAGGGCAAAGCGAGGACCATATATGTAGAAGTACTAGCAAACTCCCACGAGCCATGATGGAAAGTTACCATGGTAAGTTTCTGCAGTAGCCTTCACTTGAGTTAGTTGTTCATATTACAAGATATAAGTCTGCAAAAGCGATCAAAAAATTAAAAAGAAAAAAATATTTAAGCATTAACTGTTCCTTTCAATAGACCAGTAAAAATCAATAGCACAATTATCCAAGGTTTCCTGTATATATACATATATATTTTTCTCTTCCTTCTTTCTTTTCTCCTTTCCCTCATTTTTTCTTTTACCGTCTTTTTCTTTTTGTTTGATCCAAATTTGCTCTGCAGAGCTGGTTTTTCCCATCCCCATGCACCTTCTACTTTTCTAATTTCTTTTTTGGTACAGGGAATCGAACTCTGGGCCTTGTGCTTGCTAGGCAGGTGCTGCACGACTGAGCTACATCCCTGATCCTCTACTTTTCAAACAAACTTTTGGCACCATTATTGACTTATCTCATCCAATTCTTTGAGGAAAGAAGAACTTGGAATATTGTTGATTGGTGAGCCATTTCTAAAGAAACTACCCTGTAACACAACCAGTATATAAAAAAAAGGAACCACATTTTTTTTTTTTTTTTTACTTGATTGGGCCTACATACGTTTGTAAACTGTCGAGTTAACTGTATTTGCTAAAACTGATAAAAGGAGTTAAAGATTTGGTTCTTATTTGGAAAGGCAATCCTCCTATACCCTGGAATTACTTTCCTGATCACTTTGGGGGAAATTAGACATAAACCTTTGATTAGTAGCAAAATAAAGCTGCCATAATTCCAAGGTCGTCTTATAGCTTTCTTTTGACATCTATATCTTATAGGCTCATGTCATTTGACACTAATATCTGAAAGTTGTTAAGGAGTTCTTTTTTCTAAACTGCTAATTTCTTAGAGTGCATAGTGAAAGGTATCATTGCAGTAAACTGTAAAATTTTCAGTTTCTGTTTATTAGGAAGATGCAATTGTGCCTTGGAGGATTTTATCCATAAAAATGCCTCCAGCTTTTAAAGATGCAAATATTTTAAGGAATGCTGATTTATTTTGAACTAATACACAGCAGATACTAATGGAAGCAACAGATAGTTTAAACATTCTAGCTTTAGAATATTATTAGTTTTTTTTATTAAAGAGAGCACAAATTAGAATTAAAGCAGAAAAAATTACAAGTGATGCAGAATTTCACTTAACAAGATAATATGAATTTCACAGTATTTGTTGTAACACAGTGTTGTCTTCCAACCAATTATTCACATTACCAGATATATGTATGTAAAATTAGAAGAAGGAAGAAATAAAGAAGGAAATGTATAAGAAATTTAGAAGAGAAAAAGTGCAAACAATTGAAAAAAGCAGACAAAACAAATGAAATCATTAGCTGCTTCTTCTCATAGACCAGCAGAAATGCACAGTACAGTACTTTTCAGTTGTCTAATTGTCTAATTGCAAAGTAGAGTCAGTATGCTGCTACTCTAGATGCTGAAGATACTAATAAGGAGATATTGTACTTACTCAGATTTTCAAATTGCTTCTATGTGAAGAAGGGAAAATCACCTTTTGGTACAGAAAACATCTGATATCTGGTCTTTTCTTTGTCCTGTGATGTTAATTTTTTTTTCTTCATTTCTGTTTTAAAGCAAGGTTGTGTACCCTGTACTTCCTCCTCAGTGCTAGCTCTAATTGGCTAAGAAAAACAGTAGGTGTGCCTGGTATGTGAGCAGAATGAATTCCGACTAGATTTCACTTTCATTTCCTATCTGTGAGAGGAACCTTCTGTGAAGTGTCTCTTAGTAGTAATAGCACCACCTTCTGGTTTGTGTATTTAAAAACCTGAAGAGTGCACATCTATTCTGCCTTCATTGATCCTTTGGGACTATTGCCT